GTAGTAGGAAAAGTATATTGTGTACACAGAGGAACGGAGAATAGATGGAAAGGGATTTGACTTGGAGAGCATACGACCAGCCAGGAGGCCGGGCGGGTCCAAGTGTTGGTTTGACAGCAGTCAGGCCAGTGGACAGAGAGAGAGCGTTCATTGACTGGATCAGCCTTAAAGGTTTTTAACCAGACAGACAGATTGCAAGTTTGCTATTCGCCGCCGTCCAAAACGGCCAGATGGTATATTGTACTTATTCGTGGAGAATATTTAGACGCACTTATACAGTTCTTCTTATGCACATGTTTGCACAGAAGTGCACTATGCCTTTCTACAACCAAGCTTTACCAACTTGACACGCATCTTCGCGTTTTTGGCACTTCCGCCTTTCTTTGATAATTTTTTTTCAAATAACTGCATACTTTTTAGGAGTGTAGCCTGAGCAAGAGCTAGCAAACTTGCAGGCTCTCCTGAGGCGTTGTGCCTGCCGCCGACTGCCACAATTATTTTGTTGTGACTTGCTCGAGTCGAAATGAACATTCCCAAAGGATCACAGACGCTTGTCTCGACGCCTGGATCAGCCAAACACAGTTGCCGCAAAGATGCCTTTTGGGAGCAAAAAGCTCGATGCAGAATTGTGCGGGGGGATAAATTTTTCATCTTTGCGTTGTTCAATATGCATTTATCCAGAAAAATATCCGTTTCTTGGATGTTTCTTTTGGGGGTCGTGGACATAAACATTCAGAAGGTCACATGCCAACAGCGTTGTCAATGAATATAAACTTGAAGAATTAGCAAAGGGTTTCAACAGTATGGTTAGGATTTTGCCAAGTGTAAGTGCGGTGTTGTGACTTGGTCGACAGTCCTAAAAATTAAAATCCGTTTCCTTGTTTTAGATGAACCCAGATAACAGTCCTTATTATTTTCTGAGGGAGGTTGAGCTTAGACACCCACATACTTAGTCCAAAGGAAGGTATTACTAGACCACAGGGAAGTCTCGGCCGCATAATTGAGTCGACCGCCAGTGAATGAACATATTGTTGCCTGCGAAGGCAACCGTGACTTCTAGATGAGATCACTATGACTCCTTAATCGCATTGCGTCGCTTTTCACGTCAGCCAGCACAAATCTCAGAGACTGGTACAATGAGTTGACTCTCGTGTTCAACCTTCGCAGCCTGACACAACTGTTCAGTTCCAGCCAAACGGCATTCCTCGGGCTGAACAAGCGTGCAAGCCTCCAGCATACTTGAAAGTTCCCAGTGTCTAGTCTGTTCACAGAGATAGAACTGGAGCCGATCGCCATGGTCCAGACGTTGTCCATCCTCCTTTTTTGACCTCAAAATTATCGGTCCTCTATTATGAACTGTTCCAGACGCTCTGGTCTTGCCGGCTCTGCCACCGAAGTAATCTGCTTGTGAAATGCAATACATCAGTTGTACTTAAGATATGCGCACTTTTTCGCATACAATCGGGATAATAGACTCTGCCTCTCCGGTTTGACTTAAACGTGTCAGCGCAGGCTCTGACCTCACCAGCGGTCACCGCTAATTGAAGCGGTCGTTTGACACTCTGGTGTATTCCGCCTTAACCGGCTGGCCCGGAAGTTAAAACGCAGAACTGCCTTTGTGGCTACAATTGTGAGTAGACTGAGTAAATAAACTCCTAAACGGCAGTTTCCGTTGTAAACGTGGCAATCCCAAACGTTATTTCAACATCATTGCTGGTTATTGTTGATAAAGGTAGGGGGCGCTTACCAATCGTGTTATGGGACAGATTCGTCCGGTTGTGTCTAGAGCGATTGGGTACATTACCAATGCTAGGAGGGCACTCATCTAACTGCTGTGCGCGTTTGCTCACGGATCTCCAAGTTGAATCCCAAAGGTGACAGGATAACATGCCTGCAGCTAAATGATTATGGCGTTGGGCAGTGAACCAGTAGTAGTCGCTTCTGCCCAACGCCCACCTATCTCTTGACGTCACAGACAAGGTCCCTCAG